ACAAGGAGATATTGGATGAATTTGGAGGATATTCTTTGGCTTGTTTTGAAGAGAGTATTTCGGCTATTAGTGAGCAAGACAAGGGAACATGGTGTGGCTGTGAAAGGAAAGTATTTTGGCTTAAAATGAGTTATGGATTTTCGGCCTTATGCACACAAAATCAAGAAGGATAATTTGAAACTTAATATGAAGATATTCTAGGCTGTATTTGGTGGATTGTTTTCGGCCTTTTGTAGGGGAAAAGGTGAGGAAGGTACACTGCATGTTTGGTTGTGAAATTAGTCAACAAAAGGAGAAACTTTTACTATTCAACTTTAGACTCTTTTTGCTGATTTTTTTTTCTTTGTGGTAAATGGTAATTTTGGTTGGATTTTAGGAACCAAATGGGGCTGGAATTTCATCCCTATGTAGGAACAAGAAGGGAAGTGTGTTATTTGATTATTTAAGGGTTTAAAAAAAATAAAAGTGGTCTTCTTATTTTCGGTCAAGGAACTTAAAATAAGTGGAGGAAGACTTTATTTGAAAGGAAATAAAAGAAAAGGCATTTTGGATGTTTAGGGATGGTTTGAGGTTTTGGTGGAGCCATCCAGGGGTATAACACAATTTGTGAATGATCAATCCCAACATTTGAAGATCTTAGTCTATAAAGTAGAATCTGCACTGAGAGGTAATGGAGGAGGGGAACATACATCGTTCAAAAGAAGAAGAAGAAGACAATCTTCACAAGTCCTCTATGTTAACTTCATAGATAGTAACAACATATATAAACACTCCCCTCAATATGGTGCATGAATATTATTTGCACCGAGCTAGTCACATATGTAGACTGTCCTCGGATTCGTAAAGGCTTGGTGGAGATACCCACAAGTTGATCATTATATTTGAAAAGTGACGTGCTAATTTCATTTTTCCCAAATGAAATGACAATCAAATCTCTCTGTCCTTAGTTTTTCTTGAAAAAACAGCTTTGAGGCATCGTGGGAAACTATTTGAGAATCCAAATCAAGATGCCCATAATGGAATCAATTAAAATGACACACTAAACTTCCCCTGCTTCTTACTTACGATGAAGTTTTGGAAGGAAATGCAGCAATGCATTTAGGGTCTTATGGAAATAGCATCATTCTCTTCACTGGGGTAAGTCGGTAAGACATGGAGTTGGGATTATATTGGGTTGCTATTGTTGTTTTTCTAGTGTATTCTGCAGTATTAAGTTCCTCAAGTACAAACTTTGTTTAGATGAGCTCACATACTGTCAGAGAAATGGCTTTAAACTCTGCTTCGACACTTGATCTTGCAACTAGACCTTGTTTCTTGTTTTTTTCACCACCAGATTAAATTACCCCCATGCAAAGGCAATACCCCAAAGAATATTTTACATACCCCATGATTCGTGTTATTTTTTAAAATTATAAATACAAATTACAGAGTATATTGAGACTAAGTAGAAACAAAGAATAAAGTTTTTTATTTATATTTTTTTAAAATTATTTCAATATGTTATTTCTTCGTAAACTTTACTAAGAATACATTCTTTTGGATCAAAATATACTTAAGAGGACAAAACTGAAAGTTGTAATTTTAACTACAAATTGATGATCTGAGCTAAAAATAAATAAAAAAGAATGAACTATTAACTGGATTTAATTGAACATAACTAAAGTCATCCGGACCTTAGTTCCAATTTTAAATGAAAAGTGTTTAATTTGACTACAACAGGTGCCTAAGTCAATGAATGTTCCATTATTATTAAGATGAGTTGGTGTATGGATTATTCTAGGCCAACCACTCAAAGTTTGGACTATTATAAGATTGTGATGGGGAATAACCCCACGCCAGCACTAGGGCTGACATCGGGCTTGGACGTTCCTGCCCGGCCCAGAGCTCCACTCGTCCTGCTGCCCGGCTCTACGCTCCGCTCGTCCCTCCTGCTCGGTTCAGAGCTCCACTCGTCCTGCTGCCCGGCTCTGCGCTCCGCTCGTCCTCCTGCTTGGCTCAGAGCTC